TTTACTGGACCGGGCGAAGCCGGGTATGCCAGCTAGTTATTACAATATGTGTCACCCAAACAAATCAATCCAATCTCTCAACTTGAGTGATCTTGTTACTCTTTGCCAACTGCAAGTGCCAAGAATTTTCTTGAAAATCGTCTCTCCATCTCATCGGTCGTCCCATTGGACGCTTATGAGGTGGTAGCTATTCCAGTAGTTCTCTACCATCTTATCTTTTTGCTGTTGACGGGTTTCCAAAGTAAAGTCATCTTTTTTCCTTTGCGCAAGTCGCTAAGTCTTTCACTTTTGTGACGCCACGTAACCATAAATTTGTCTTCTTATCTATTAGGCGGTTTCCAATCATTTTCCGTTCTATACGTCTTCCAGCAGCACTAAGCTGTTTCTCTTTCTTCTTCGTCATTGTCCATTTTTCCGCACCGTAAGGATTTGAAGGAAGGATGCATGAATCATGCAGTTTTCACTTTCTGTTCGCACAGCCTTTGATGTCAAGAAATCTATACTGGTTAAAAATTTGCAATCCAGCATGTATAGCCGTGACACTTCTTAGCTATAATCAAGTTTGTCCAAGATAAATGTGAGATTTCTTTTGCAAACTGATTATCGGAGATGTGCAAGTACTTTAGTTTTTAGAGGATTGATCTTGAGACCGTTCTTGCGTGAATGAATATCCAAATTGCTTATCACCTCTTGTAGTTCTTCTCCACATTTTGCAATCAGGACGACGTCATCATTAAAACAGGAACGTGAGTTGACTTCCGTCTATGTAGTACCCATAGTTGTTTCAGCTGATTTTTTTAGAAACCTCTTAAAATGTAGCGATAAACAGTCTAGATGAAGATGGGTTTCTTTGTCCCCTCCTCTCTCAACTCCTATAGGAAACAAAGCTTCACCGACCTTTACGGTAGCTTTTGCGCTTGTATAGACTTGGCGAAGGAGAGTGATAAGCTGCCGATGTACTCCTTGTTCTTCAAAAGCAGTCCAAAGGGTATTCTTTTCGACAGTGCCAAAAGCTCTTTAATAATCTATAAATACCATGAATAGCAAACTATACTCAATACGATTGATTCATTGAGATAGGATGTGATCGACTGCTGAAAA